TTGTTATTCAGTAGTGCTCGTGTACTTGTTGATACCAGATTTTGGGGTTGGTTCTAGTCTATATTCTCGGATGTTTTTATGGTATTCTTGTACTGTTGAGTTATTACATCAAGCTATTTTATTTTCAATGTTAATCATGCGATTGTTGGCTTATCTAGTGGGTTAGGTTAGGTTCCATCACGACTGGTGGATTTTGGGTCGTGACAGTATCTCAAAGAGTACACTCTTAATGAGTTGCAATCTTCCGGCATAAAAAAGGAATCTTGAGGTCCACCTTCTTACCCTATCCACTATCTTGTCTACTAGGGTCATGCACTGGTGAATTGTGAGATTCTTTGAGGACTCATAGGTACTTAAATAGCACAGTACCTAAAGTTAAGTGCAATTCATCCAGCATTTTTTCCTTGAAGTCTAGTGGCACCCCTGCTATGTATAATGAGCTTTTCTCTAGATTTGCCTTGAGGCCAGATACAACAGAAAAATGTTCAAAGGCTCTCATCATTAGTTTTGTAGACACCTCATCTGCCCTACAACACATCAGAAGGTCATCCAAAACATATGTGTAATATTTTCAGTCTTGCACACTTAGGATGAAAATTGAAGTAAGGATTCAGTGTGAGTATCTTTATTGATCTAGTCAAGTATCATTGCCAGTACAAACAAGTAGGGAGACATTGGGTATCCATGTCTTAAGCCTTTCTTAGCTTCAAACCTGGTGGTCACACCACTATTTATCAATAGTGTGTAGCTGACAGTTGTTACACATTCTATTATCAGGTTCACCATATTATATGGGATGCCAAACTCCATCAGTAGTATCCTTAGGAAGCTCCATTCCACAAAGTCATATGTTTTCCTGATGTCTACCTTAATCATGCACCTAAGTGACACTATTTTTTGGGTATAGTCTTTAATCAGCTCATGTGCCATAATGATATTATCAAGGATATTTCTGCCCTATGAATGTAGGCTGGGAATGTCCTACCAATAGGTCAACAACTAGTATGAGTCTAGTTATTAATATCTTGGTAATGATCTTGTACAATATTGAGCAGCAGGCAATAGGTCTGAATTCCTTTACATAGGTTGGGCTTTGAACTTTTGGGATCAATGTGACTGTAGTACAGTTGACATCTTTCAGGAGTTTACCAGTTTCAAAGAATTGCAATACATCCTTTGTGACATCAATACCAATAGCTGGCCAATATTCTTTGAAGAATTAAGCGGGGTAACCATCAAAGCCTGGTGCTTTATCACCGTGAAGGGACTAAACAACTTAGAATATATCCTCTAGAGCTACATACATTAGAAGTTGTTGTTGTTGATTGAGTGCGAGGTGAGGTCTATTCTAACAATGTTGATATCAATTCCAGGGAGTTCACATGCTGCTTCACCAAGTAGTTTATGAAAGAATTGGGTGAATTCATGTTGTATCTGCTTGGAGTCTGACAGTTTGACATGTTGCTCAGTGTAGATACCAGCTACTTTGTTTCTTGCTTGTCTGGCTCTCGTATAGGCATGTAAGTACTTGGAGTTGCAGTCTCCTAGCTCAATTCAAGTGGCCATGGTTTTCTGTCTCAAAACTTGTTCCTGGACCGGATCCCATTTTTCAATTAGGACTAGAGTATTCTTTTCCTACTCAATTAGCTGCATATTAAAGTGGTCATCATTAAGTTTGTCTTTCGCCCCCTTAAGTGACTCTCTCAGTTGTTGTAGTCTTTTCTCAATTGAGGAGTGCTCTTTGTGTAAGCCTCTTGAATGAACTTCCAGTAGCTTCAGTTTTCTTCAGACGGAGTACATAGTATGACCTTGGATATGTTTCCTCCAAGTAAACTATACCATAGCTTTGTATTCTTGAAGTTGCATCACTGTGGAAAGCAACCACAATGGTCTTCTCCCTTTCAACCTAGTTACCTCAGTGTTTAATAGGATTGATGAATGGTCTGAACATCCTGGTAACATATATACAGCCTTTATCCCAGTGTGATCTTGAAACCACTCTGTATTCCCAAAAGCCCAGTCAATGTGGCTGTAATTTGCGTCCCTCTTGTTACTCCATGAGAACCTGCAACCTCTTGGTTATTTGCCCTGCACTAATGTCATTAATACATTATTGAAAATCTGCTATTTCTGTTTGATGGGCTGGTGCCTATTCATTCTATCCTCCACATGCAGAACAATGTTGAAATCGCCTATTATAAGCCAAGGACCAGTGGCTTGCACACTCCTCAGGATATCCCATAGTGGAACTCTATCTTGAACAGTGTGAAGTCCATAGACAAAGGTTATGTAACTGGAAAATGAGTAATTTCTATCTTTAACAAAGCAGTGCATCATTTGGTCTGAACTTTTCATCACAGTCACATATGTACTAGCCACTTTCCATCCTATCCAAATTGTACAATTTGGTGCATATGCATAATTAGTGCTAAATTGTCAGTTAGCACCAATCTTCCTTTGTGTCTTTTTTTTTCTTTATGTTGTTTAACTCTGGTATCAAAACAAGTTACCAAATCAACCTTATTCAAAAACAAGAATAATTCAAATTCTTTTTGTTTGAAGGACTTGTTCAGTCTTCTTATGTTCCAAGCGGTAATGATCATGGTAGATTTTGTGGTATAAAATCAATGTCTTCTGCTGCAATTTGAGCATGATATCTTATAGGAGGAACACCTAGTGGTTGAAGGCCCCTCTTGAATTGTCAATGGGGCAAACTGGTTTCTCCTAGCTAGCTCCACATAGTCAGTATTGCTACGGTCTTTCTTGGCGGCAGATCCCTGAAAAACTACATGATGTTCGCCTCGATTATTCACCTTTATTTCTACTAGCTCCTACAGTGTGGGTTCCTCTTTGGGGATATGAGTTGCTGTGGTATTTCCTACATCAATGAGCTTTGGTTTCCATTCCCATTTTGTCTTCTTCTTTCTCTTCCTTTTTGTTCTGCTTCTTAAATTCAGTTTGCTGTACAAGTTATTCACAAGCACCTATATCATGCTCGAACTGGTTGCACTACATACAGAATTGTTGGCTTCCATTCGAACTCTACTTTTTTATCCCATATACTCCCATCCGCTTTCTCAATAGACAGCTCATCTGAGAAAGATTGTATGATATCCATCTCAATCAATAACCTGGCATAGGAGATTCTCTCATAGTGGGTTGTGAGTTTATCAATGCATATTGGTTGCCTAGGTTTTTCTCAGTCCAACACTGAAGATGTAGCCCTGGGAGATTAACCCCATAGGAATAACACGCAATGGCTCATTTTGAATCTGGATATCGGGATCCCACTCCTTCATCACTACAAGCCTATTATTAAGGTATAGGGCCCGTTTATATGATTTGAGCTTTATCCTCAATTGATTCAAAATGAAATATGAAGTAACCATCGTCATGGAGAAATGCCCTTCGGGGTGGTACTGAGTTCCAAACTCCATAGATGAATTTTTAGCATTTCCTTGAACGGTGGATTCCCCAATTACATAACCTATTACGGTAGTTTTCCAGCGTTTGCACTGCTCTTCCATTTCTGTTGGGTTCAGTTTGGCCACTTTCACTCTGTCTTTAATCGTTGAAGGATAGAAGTTCAGTTGCATGCCTGTATTTGTATTTATGCTTAACCACATCAGCCATGGTCTGCTTTGTACTCTAAACCTAATTGAGTAGGCTAATTTTATCGTCGCGGTTTCGATAGGTCGTTCTTCCTTTTTTTTCCACTGGAGCTTGCATGATTGTAGGGGCACTCCCCATACCTGGCAATCAATGTAACAATTGCATTGGAGCCAATTTCTATGGAATACCAGTATCAGGCATAACCATTCGATTCCTATTTTCTAGAATAGTGGGCGATTTTGTAGGGAAGGGAAGGTGGTTTTTCTGGTGGGTCATCGTGAAAGGCGTATGTTAGCTAACCTTGCTTAAAGTGCGCCTATGATGCATTTTGAAAATTTTCGAAAATTTAAAAAACTTCAAAAAACTGTTTTTAAAAATTTTCACTCAAATCACTCACAAAACTTCAAAAACAACCCAAACTGAAATTTATGCCCAAACACAACTCTAAATTTCAAATACCGTTTTCACTTAAAAAAATTTTTCACCATTTTTTGGAATTTTACAATTCTTATGTCCAAACGCCAACTTATTGTCATAGATAGGAATAATGATTTTAATAAATAAAAAATAGAATAATTATCTGGCGTCCAAAATTATATCACCCACAAATATTGGACGTTTTAATTTTTTTTGAACCCCAGGAAAACCCGCAACCGCTACAGCCTCTGCCACAACCTCTATCCTTCGGGTGAACACTCTGTGCGCACTGGGTAAACCCCCCATTGTGTAATAACCTGCAAATCACTCAGGGGATGTAAAACGCACTAGACAAGCACTGTGCGATAAGCTCGGACCCAGAAGGCATTGAGGGGATCGAACTCCCATCGCCCGTGTGGACAACACCCTCCGAACCAACTGGGTTGTCCCTTCAGGTGAAGACTCTGTGCGCACTGGGTAAACCCCCACTGTGTAATAACCTACAAACCACTCAGGGGATATAAACCGCACTTGACAAGCACTATGCGATAGGCTCAGACCCAGAAGGCATTGAGGGGGATCGAACTCCCGTCGCCCGTGTGGACAACACCCTCCAAACCAACTGGGCTGTGCCTTCGGGACATATAATATCGGGAAAATTTCCTGAAATTGTGTGGCAACCCAAGCGTCAGACAATCTGCCCGAAGTTCATGTTGCAATTCACACATCAGACAATTTCTCTTGAAGTTTTGAACCGCATGAGATGAAGTTGAGGAGAGTTCTTGAAAGTTGAAATTCGAAGTGAATGTCGTATTTCATAATTATGGTTAGCTTTCAACTACTTTACCAAGCACTGGCCATATTATAAACAGTAGTCCTAAAGTGGCTACCTGGTATAATTTTTGCGTTAGGATCCAATACAATATGGCCCAGACAAACTAGTTAGCCCTAGCCCAATAACTCCCAGGATTTCACCAACACATCTTATACCCTAGAAGCTCATTAATCACAATAACAAAGAGTTCAAACATCCATACACCTAAGTTGCTTTGCTCCTCCATCGCCGTCCAGCAAAAAAATGGTAAGCTACAGCCATAGATAGGCTCTTTTTCTCGACGATTTAAGATTTTGAGTTTAACGTTTGATATTGGTTGCAGGCTCCAAAGAAAGGTGTAGCAGTAGCAGCAAAGAAGAAACCAGTTCAGGCGAAAGTGGTGAATCCACTGTTCGAGAAGCGGCCAAAGCAGTTTGGGATCGGTGGTGCATTGCCGCCCAAGAAGGATCTGACCCGTTTCGTGAGATGGCCTCAGGTTGTTCGTATCCAGAGGAAAAGGAGGATTCTTAAGCAGCGTTTGAAGGTTCCTCCTGCTCTTAACCAATTCTCAAAAACCCTTGACAAGAATCTTGGTATGTTTGGAACCAAACAGTTTTGATTTTTGTTGAATCACTTGTTTGTATGTTGTCTATGAAAAATTACTGTCTTTGTGCTTATGCAATGTGTATGATGTGAGATTTGTATTCTCTGTGAAAATGCTGCTTTATTAGGCAAAAGAACTTGATATGTAGAATATTTGAGTCTTGCCTTCTGATTCTTGTTTTGAAAATTTTCAGTGCCCACTGGGCAAGATGGAAAGTTTAGACGTATATACATTAACCAGTATACATTTCTACAGCTGTTTAGTTAGAATAGATCTACTTTACTCCATGAATTGTAACATTTAATATCAATGGCAAGTTTTCCGTTTAGGAATCAATAATGTCAAAACTAGGATGTCTTAATTGATTGTTCTCTTTCTTTTTTATTAAGAACGACCTCTTTAATATCTTAGCTGAAAATTTTGCATTAGATTTCTAGCCTGTTGCTATATCTTTTCTAAATGAATTAATTTGCTCATGCTAGATTGGATGGTTTGTGTATTTTTGACTAATTGGTCATCTATACAGAGTTGTATGGATGGTTGTCTTCTGCTTTTGGCATGTTCAAGTAGAGCTTTGTGTGGTCTTGGAACTTATCCTTTTGTTTTTCTCTGTATTTTTACCTTGTCTCATATTCGCTGATAATGGATTAGGGTGGTATGTTGCTCATTCTCCCTGCCGTTTTATTGGGGCAAATCTGCACTATCTTTACTGGCCCTCAATCTACCTGGATGTAGCATGCTTCTCTCACCCCTCTCTTGCAACTTTTAGTATAATATATCGTACCCGACCTTAAGGTCACAAAAGAATTCTACTTTATTCTGCTTGTGCTTGCCGTTTGAAGTTTCATGACAGCTGAACTGACGTTTACAATTGCTTTTCTTTTGAATATTCAGCCACGAACCTGTTCAAGATGCTATTGAAGTACAGGCCTGAAGACAAAGCTGCAAAGAAGGAGCGTCTCGTAAAAAGAGCTCAAGCTGAAGCAGAAGGGAAAACACCCGAGACTAAGAAACCTATTATTGTGAAATATGGTCTTAAGCACATAACCTACCTTATTGAGCAGGTTTGTTTTGGTGTAGCAAACCATTTGTACTTTCCCAGTTGATCTTACTGTCAAATAACACAAGTCTGTTGATGATACCCCTTCAGAACAAAGCACAGTTGGTGGTTATTGCTCATGATGTGGACCCAATAGAGTTAGTCGTGTGGCTGCCAGCATTGTGCAGAAAGATGGAAATTCCGTACTGCATTGTGAAGGGAAAAGCACGTTTAGGATCCGTAAGGAACATGAGATGTGCATTTATATATAGCTATGCTTTCTTAATGGTATTAGATACTAATGATTGAGCATTGCTTTCAGATCGTGCACAAGAAAACTGCTTCCGCACTATGCTTGACAACTGTGAAAAATGAAGATAAAATGGAGTTCAGCAGAATTTTGGAGGCAATCAAGGTATCTTATGTTAATAAATGATAAATTGGCTGTTTGTTTTCTGTTTAGTTATCATCCTTTTGTGTAAATATATACAAGGATTTATATTGATTTTTGTTGTACTTTTTTCAGGCAAACTTCAATGACAAGTATGAGGAGAACAGAAAGAAATGGGGCGGCGGTGTCATGGGATCCAAATCACAAGCAAGAACCAAGGCGAAAGAGAGGGTTCTTGCCAAGGAAGCAGCACAGAGAATGAACTAGAGCTTCTATTGTATGTTGCTGTTGGATTAAACCTCTACCAATTTTGTGTTTTGGTTCGCATGCTTGAGCAATGTTAGAGATCCTACATGGATTAGACTTTTATATTTACTATGTTTTACAGATTATGTTCTTATGCAAAAGACTTTCCTACTTTGTCAGTTTTCTGAATAGATGGTTGGTTGAGTTGGTTATGTGCGAGGATAAAATGAGAAGGCTCTTCCATTCACTAGGTGCTTATTCTTCTGATGCAGTTTACTCTACCTTGTCCCCTCTACTCATCAAAGTTCATTATAATATCACCGAGCCTTCAACTTTTTCTCTATATAACCCAGCCTTGTTAGAAGTGGGTTGTGGCTAGGGGTGTTAATGGTTCGGTTCGGCTTGTTATTTTGTAGATTTTGTACCATACCAATTTTCTGTTGGATAAGAAAAGAATTATAAGGAGAAAGTAAACCAATAAATAGAGCAAAAGAGATGAAAAGCTACTGGAATTCTTGTATTTCTGATACTACGAAGTGTAAAAGAACTGCCTATAAATAGGCTTACAAAGAAACTGAAAATACTAAAATCTAGCTCCACTAATTCACTTACCCACTAAAGCTAACCAATATCTAAACTTGTTTAAATAAAGGAAACCAACTAACAAACTCCTAGAGACTTGGTCAAACATTTTGAATCACTTCTCAACACTCTCCCTTGATTCAAAAGTGCAAACTCCAAGTTGACCTCTGAAGAACTCGTGCTTTGCTTGCGGAAGTGACTTTGTGAAGATGTCTGCCGCTTGCTCATTCATACCACAAGTCTTCAAAGTAATTTCTCCAGTAGAAACAAGACTTCGAATATAGTGATAGCGAATATCGATGTGCTTTGTTCTGCTATGAAATGCTGGCTTTTTCGACATCGCAATAGCAGATCTGTTGTCACAGAATATTTCAGTTGCATCAGCTTGTTTTTTATTGAAATCTGCAACAAGTCTCCTTAACCAAACTGCTTGACAAGCTGCCGAAGTTGTTGCAATATATTCAGCCTCTGAAGTTGATAATGCCACCACTTCCTGCTTCTTTGAACTCCATGAAATTGCTCCAGATTCGAGATTAAACAAGAAACCAGACGTGCTCTTTCTATCATCAATGTTACCTGCCCAATCGCTATCAGTAAAGCCGGTTAATGTGAAATTTGTTACCTTAGAATACCAAATTCCATGATCTATTGTCCCTGCGATATATCTCAGTATTCTCTTTGCAGCTCCAAGGTGAAGTTTACTTGGACTATGCATAAATCTTGACACTACTCCAACAGAGAAAGCAATATCTGGCCTCATATGAGACAAATAATTTAAACCACCAACAAAACTTCTAAAATAAGTTGCATTTGCCATTTCAGTACCATCATCAAGACATAATTTCTCATTAATATTCATTGGCGTAGCAGCAAATTTACAATTCACCATATTAAACCTTTTCAAAAGATCTGTTGCATATTTTCTTTGTGAAAGAAATATGCCATCAATTCCTTGTTTCACTTCAAGACCAAGAAAATAATGCAGTAGACCTAAATCAGACATCTCAAAATTCTTTATCATGCAATCTTTAAATTCAGCCACAATAGACTCACGTGAACCCATATATATTATATCATCAACGTAAAGACATACCGCCAAAAAATTATTTTTACCTTCTCGTTTGAAATAAAGAGTAGGCTCATTGTTACTCCTTTCGAAATCACTCTTCTGATAATAAGAATCAATTTTGAAGTACCATGCCCGCGGCGCTTGCTTTAAGCCATAAAGTGCCTTTTTTAACCTGTAAACCTTATCTTTTTTTCCGTTAACTACAAACCCTTCAGGCTGTGAGACATAAACTTCTTCTTCCAAATCACCGTTTAAAAAGGCAAATTTAACATCAAATTGGTACACTGGCCAATTTAATGTTGCAGCCAAAGCTAAGAAAGTTCTAACAGTTTCAAAGCGGGCAACATGAGAAAAGGTTTCATCGAAGTCGATACCTTGTTGTTGGGAATAGCCTTTTGCGACAAGCCTTGCCTTGTGTTTTTGAATGCTTCCATCTGCATAATACTTGGTTCTAAACACCCATTTGAGCCCAATAGCTTTCTTTCCTTCTGGCAAATTAACCAAGTCCCAGGTCTAATTTTTTTGAATAGCTAACAGCTCCTCTTCCATAGCTTTGCACCATTTATCCTCTTTTTCAGCATTTTCAAAGCAAATAGATCTGAAACAAGCAAAGCAAAAGTACATGATGTACTGTTAGCATATTTGGGATTTGGTTTTCTATCCCTTGTTGATCTTCGTAATAGAATTGGCTCAGCTGAAGGTTCTTCCAGTGTTGGAGAAGTTGATGGTTCCATTGATGAGATAATTGATGGATCTGATGAAGAAGGATCTGCTACACGCTCTTGATCAACAATATCATTAGTAGGCAACAATTGAATATTTGAACTTTCATTTCAGGAATTAAAGTTCCAGCTTGCATCTTCATTAAACACAACATTTCTACTGACTATAATTTTTCCACTCACTGGATTATATAGCTTATAAGCTTTAGATTGTGTGCTATAACCAACAAAGACACATTTTTCAGATTTTTCATCAAGCTTGCGTCGAGCATGTGAATTCACCAAAGCATAAGCTACACATCCAAAGACACGTAAGTGGCTTACCTTGGGCTTGTTACCTCTCCATGCTTCATATGGTGTTCGATTAAGAACTGCCTTGGTGGGTGAAATATTCAGCACATAGACAGCAGCGGCATCGGCTTCAGCCCATAAAGACTTTGAAACACCTCTATCTTGCATCATGCTTCTGCCCATCTCGACAATTGTGCGATTCTTACATTCGGCTACACCATTTTGCTCTGGTGTATAAGGTGCTGTGAGCTCTCTATTATTCCATTTTCCTCACAGAAGGAACTAAATTCATTTGACATAAACTCACCACCTCTATCTGTCCGAAGAGTTTTGATTCTACATCCACTTTGCTTCTCAACAAAAGATTTAAATTTCTTGAAATTCTCAAAAGTTTCAGATTTAAATTTCAAGAAATATATCCAACTCATACGACTATAATCATCAATAAAAAGCAAAAAGTATCGACTTCCCCCTAAGGACTCAATACTCATAGGACCTCACAAGTCAGCATGTACTAACTCGAGACAAATAGAAGCTCTCCAAGACTTGCCTATAGGAAAAATATTTTTACTTTGTTTTCCATAAACACAACTTTCACAAAAATCAAGATTCTCAACTTTTGGCAATCCAAAAACCATTTCCTTTTGGCTCAATAACTTCAGTCTATTAACATTTAAATGTCCATAACGCAAATGCCACAGTCTAGTATCATTATCACTACTAGCAACCATAGCACATTTCTCGACCATTGAAACTTCTAAAGGAAACATTTTGTTGTTAGTCATTGGAACTGTAGCAATGGTTTGTCTAGATTTCTTACTTCTAATAGTGCAAAAACCATCATCAAAAGAAATCGAGTATCCGCTAACCATTAGCTGTCCAATGCTAAGCAAATTATGAGATAGACTAGGAACAAACATCACATCTTCTAATATTTTAGCATTACCTTGGCTGGTTCTAATGCTAACAGTATCTCTGCCTTCAACTTGGATCTTCTTGTTGTCTCCTAGCCTCACGTCTGATTTTTTGGACTCATCAAGTTCTTTGAACAATGATCTTATTCCAGACATATGATTAGAACATCCACTGTCCAAAATCCAAACATCGTTAGGAATTTCTTTTTCACAATAAAAGGCCATAAACAACTTACTCTCATCGTCATTTTTTTCTGCAAAACTTGCTTGGTTATTTTCATCCTTCTGCTTTTGCCAACAATAAGCTTCCTTATGACCTGGCTTTCTGCAGTAATTGCATAAAAATATCCTATTTTGCTTCTCTTCATTTGATCCTCCTCTGTCTCGTCCTCTTCCATGGCCTCTTCCACGACCTCTTCCACGAAAACCACCCCTACCACGACCACGATTAGAAAAATTTTCTGACTTATCTTTCTGATGGGTGGACTCTCCCTTCACCTGAAATGCCTTTTCTTCATTTTTTTCATGTAGCCTTAGGAGCCTTTCTTCATTAGCTTGCAAAGAACTCATTAGTTCATCAAAAGAATAATTTGATAAGTCATGAGATTCCTCAATCGCAACAACAACATGTTCAAACTTTGGAGTAAGACTCCTTAAAACTTTTGCAACAACAATTTCTTCAGATATGTCTTCACCATAAGACTTCATTTGATTAACAAGAGAAGAAACTCTAGACAAATAAGTTTGAACAGATTCATTACTTTTCATAGAAAGAGTTTCAAATTCACGACGGTAAGTCTGTAATTTTACCGTAATTACTTTAGCTGAACCTTGAAATTCCTTCTTCAAAATCTTCCATGCCTGCGAAGACGTAGTTGCTGCTGCAATTCTTGAAAAGATTGTGTCATGGACTGCTTGTTGAGTGAAACACAGTGCTTTGGCATCCTTCTTTTTGATCTCTTTCAAATTTTCCACCTCTTCGGTAGCGCTTGCTTGATCCACAAACCCTGCTTCCACCAGCTCCCGAACTCCTTGTGATTTGAAAAGAGTTTTCATTTTGATACTCCAAAACTCATACTTTTCACCAGTAAAAATTGGAGTGAGTTGTTGTGAAGATGATGAAATACCATTCACGGCCATTTTTCTTTTGCTCTCACACTTTCTCTCTAATTTCACTCAAATACTCACCCAATTTTGAAAAGAACCGGGCTCTGATACCAGATTTGTTGGATAAGAAAAAAATTATAAGGAGAAAGTAAACCAAAAAATAGAGCAAAAGAGATGAAAAGCTACTGCAATTCTTGTATTTCTGATACTACGAAGTGTATAAGAACTGCCTATAAATAGGCTTACAAAGAAACTGAAAATATTAAAATCTAGCTCCACTAATTTACTTACCCACTAAAGCTAATCAATATCTAAACTTGCTTAAATTAAGAAAACCAACTAGCAAACTCCTAAAGACTTGGTCAAACATTTTTGAATCACTTCTCAATATTTTCTACAGCATCGTAAAAAAAACTAAGAAATTAATAGAAAGAAAATATAAATCATATGAGTGGAAAGATATTAACCAAGTTGGTACCGGGATTCAAAAATAAAGTCTATATAAGATTAAATATTTAAAAAGATAAGTCTAAATCAAACGAAAGGAAATATATTATATTGTAGT